AATTTTTCTTTACTCCTTTTGAAAGATTTATTTTTATTTGTATTTCTGTGTATGTGTCTGTGTGTGCAGTGCCCAAGGAAACCAGAATAGGGTGTCAGAAGCCCTGGAGCTGGAGTTATAGGTAGTTGTGAGCTGCCTGATATGGATGCTGGGAACTGAGCTTGGGCCCCTAGAGAAGAGCAGCAAGTGCCCTTACCTGCTGAGTCACATCACAAACCCAATTTGCCTTCTTTCCTGAGAATCTCATACCTGTGTACAATGAAATATGATCATATCCATTCCCATTTCATTGCATTGTCTCCCAACGCCCCAATGTGTCCTCCTCCAAAATTCATGTCTTTTTTTTATAACCCCCCACCCCGCCCACAAGTTTCATTAGTGTTACCCACATGTGCATGGGTATGGGGCCATCCGCTGGAACTTGGGGAATCTAGCAGTGGGAATCCCCACAGAAAAATGATTTTTCCTCCCTCCAACCACAATCAACTAGCTCCTCAGTAAAGGGTGCGGCCTGGAGAACTCCTCCCCCATCTGGGCTGGAATTGTGTCTGGCTTGATGTTGTGCAGGTGACCAAGGCCGGTGGGAGTTTGTGGCGGTGACACCGTGTCATGTCCAGAAAAGGGTATTTCCAGTATATGTCCGCAGTCTGCGGCTCTCACGTTCTTCCCGCCTCCTCTTCTGTCATAGTTTCCAGTCCTTGGTAGGACACGGCAGGTGATAAAGATGTCCCCATTTAGGGCTGAGCGCTCCTTCTGTCATTCTGGGCACGGTGATCAGTGATGTGTCTCTGCACTGCAAAAGGAAGCTTCTTTGACCAAGGTTGAGAGAAGCTCAGGTCTACAGTATAAAGATAATTGTTTAGAAGGCAATTTGACAACATGACCATTGTGTATACCTATTTAAAACTAATTAAAATAATAGCTGGAGGTGGTGGCCAACGCTTTTAATCCCAGCACTACAGAGTCAGAAGTAGGCGGATCTCTGTGAGTTCAAGGCCAGCCTGGTCTACATAGCATGTTCCAGACCAGCTGGGGCTACAGGGAGACCCTGTCTCAAAAAAGACCAAAAATGAAAAAAAAAAAAAATTAAAATAAAAACTAAATTAGAGCCTTTGAGACAGCTCAGATTTCCCACCATATTGGTGGTTGTTATTATTGTTTCTTATGACCTGATCAGTCCCTCTGCCAACTGGGACTTTACCTTACTTATTGTTCTATAATTCTGTGCAAAGTTCCACAGACACATGAGTCTGGCTGGCTACTCCTTTCCCAACAGAAAGGAAGATTCTTGGCTATATGGTGTCTGCCATGGCCTCATGTTGAATCTTCCTTAAGGACTCTGGGCATTGGGAAACAACACAAGGTCAAATATAAAACTAATGCCTGGATTCAGGTGCTGATAATGGGGTCCCATTGGACATGCCATACACTAACCTGCCAGGAGCTCCACATCCACAGCTCTGGATCCTCCATCAACCCAGTATCTTCAGATCAGGACTCTGGAATCTCCCCTCCTGAGACCCTGAAGCCTGGGTGGCTCCTCGCTAAGGTCTCCCAAATCCATAGCAACCCAACTCCACACCTCTGAAGTTACTTCTCCATTGGGGGCCGTCAGCCATAAATTCAGATGCTTCACATGCAGATATAACAACACCTTCAATTCTGGAAGTTTCTTAAATCCACACCCTCACCCCAATACACATCCCTGCCATGATTCCTTCTGTCCTGTCACAGATTCAGAATAGAGGCCCTCTACGTGCCAACCAGCACAAAGGTACCCCTCCTCCTCCCTTGATGCTGGTGTCACAACCAAGCCAGGGTGCTTGGCAGGGCAACAGGTGGAAAGACAAATCAGATAGTTAGGTAAACAAGACCAAAGCCCGCCCTTCCAGGCTGGAGTATAAAGGCAAACCACCCCAGCCAGCACCATCAGCCTGTCCCTCTCACCACCAACATGCTGGCCTCAGGGATGCTCCTGGTGGCTGTGCTGGCCTTTCTGAGTGTCATGGTCTTGATGTCTGTGTGGCGGCAGAGGAAAGTGTTGGCGAAGATGCCTCCGGGACCCACCCCACTGCCCTTCATTGGGAACTTCCTGGACCTGGACCCAGAGAAGCTGTATAACTCCCTCTTGAAGGTGTCGCTGGGCAGAGAGATGGGTGGAATGGGGGTGTGGAGCATGCTCAGTGTGGCTGGAACTCTGAGAGGGAGGACTGACCAGGTGGGAACGTAGAGATATACTAGGGGTGCTTTGCGAGTTTGACAGCTCCTGGGCAGGACAGACCACATCTTGAAATGTTCACCCTCCTGAGTGTCAGAGCCGGGAAGAGATGCATCCCAGGACCTGACGTCCGGACACTGGCAGTCCAGGGATGAGCCCTCCAACCTCTCTCATTCACACTTTCAGGTCAGGGAGGGCTACGGCCCCGTGTTCACTGTCCACCTGGGGCCTAGCCGCCGCATCGTGATGCTGTGGGGATACAATGCAGTGAAGGAGGCTCTGGTGGACCAGGCTGAAGAATTCGCTGGGCGAGGAGAACAAGGCATCTTTGACTGGCTCTTCAAAGGCTACGGTGAGAGTGACCGTGTGGGGGTTCGAGCAGGGAGCCGTGGTGGCCTCCGGTTCAGCAGACTTCCTCCTGACTCTCCTGTCCTCTCAGGACTGTGGAGAGCGAGTCTTGTGTCTCTGCTCCACTTCTCTGTTCATGGTTACATCCTCCTCTGTCACTGTCTGGTTTGTCTTCGAGTTCCTGTCCAGAGTCTCACTGTGTTTCTGGCTCTACCTCTGTCTCTCTGATCTCCATCACTCGGTGTTTCTTCCCTCTCTGATCTCACCAATTCTTTTTTTATATTGAATTTTTAAATTGAATATTTGTGCATTTTGTACAATACACCTTGATCATATTTAGAGCCCCCAATCTGAACACCGTGTCACCACCCAGATTTCATGTATTCTGTCATATATGTTAAGACCTAATACTTCTTTAAAATACTTTTATTAGCCTGGGGTGGTGGTGCATGCCTTTCATCCCAGCACTTGGGAGGCAGAGGCAGGCAGATCTCTGTGAGTTCGAGGCCAGCTTGGTCTCCATTAGAGAATACAGGCCAGCTGAGGCTACAGGAAGACCTTGTCTCAAAAAGACCAAAAAATTTTTATTGAGTCATTGTGCATTTTATATAACAGCTCTTAATCAAGTTTAGATCACCCATCTACACACACCCCATAGCGCCTCCCAATCAGGATTTCATGCATTCTGTCATATACATTAAGTATATGTAGTCATGCATTTGTACCAGATCCCCTTCTGTACAAGTTCATTCACTGGATTCAGCCCGTCTAGATCTTAAAGATCTTCTCTCCCTCACCCAGCAGTCATCGGTTCCCAATAGTTCCCAGGCCAGGGTTGGGGCCTCTGCCCATGTCCCTCATTCTATGAAGGGATTTGTCCAAAGCCTAATTCTTAAAGCCTATTGGGACTCCTGTTTAGTAACCTGGCTCTCAAACTTCGTCTGAGCATCGTTTCTATCACTCATCCTTAGATTTGTGCTTTTCAGTGATTCTTTCTTTCTCTGTCCATTTCTTCTTCCTCTCTGAAGATGTTACATCATGTCTGCTTGAAAGCCTTGTGGCATCTCTCTCTTTACTTTAGCTCAGTCTGCAGTCCTTTGAAAATTGTAATCTACCCCAGGTCTCCAAGTCTCACTTCCCTCTACTCACCGCCCCCATCTTTCCTTCCCTCTCTGGTTTTTCTCCTGGATTCTCTGTGTTGCTTTCCGACTTGCCTCCACCCCTGCCTCATGGACTGCTGTCACTCTTGATGCTTCCCTTACTACTTTGTCTCTGAGTCTGGGTCTCCCCGAACTCTGCCGTCTCAGCTGCCCTTCATTCAGCTTTCCCCCACTGCACCCTCTGCCGGATCCTGCACTTGGCAGGGTCTGGTCAGAGACGCTCTGGAGCCCGATGTGCCTCTCTCACCTTTCTGTCCTGTGCTTGTCTCCCCAGGTGTGGTGTTCAGCACAGGGGAGCGTGCCAAGCAGCTCAGGCGCTTCTCCATCGCCACTCTGCGGGACTTTGGCTTTGGCAAGCGTGGCATTGAGGAGCGCATCCAGGAGGAGGCCAGCTTTCTCATACAGGCCTTGAGGGACACACACGGTGAGTGTGGGGGGCACGGAGTATATGGGAACAAGAGGAGGAAAAACAGCTGAAGAGCTGTGGGTGGGACAGGGCGTGGGCACTCGGGAAAGGCATCCAGAGTCCCAGTTCTCAGAGCACCGTCACACAGTCCAGTTGTCTCTGGTATCCCTGATCCTCTTGTCTTCCTGCCCCTGCCCCACCTCACAGGTGCTTGCATAGATCCCACCTTCTACATGAGCCGAACAGTCTCCAATGTCATTAGTTCCATTGTGTTTGGGGACCGTTTTGAGTATGAGGACACTGAATTCCTGTCACTGTTGGGTATGATTATGGGAAGTTTCCAGTTCTCAGCTACTTCTTCTGGACAGGTAACCATTCAAGCCTCAGCCCCCATCCCCTACCAAATCCTCCCACTGCACCCTGACATGGTCATCAGTGCCCAATATCCATCCTTCTCCAGACCGGGTCTCCTCAAATCAGACCCCACTCTTGGACAGCTGAACGGTTAGACCAGGACTCAGAACTAGGAAAGTTACCAATATAGTCTCCACGGCAACTGATTATCTCAACAGATGCCAACCCAACCCAAGTGAGCAACAAGATAACGGCTTCCACTCAGCCACACCTCCAGGGCAGGTGTCCTGTCCCAAGTTACCATAATCCCTGACAGATGCTGCCTACTTCATCCTTCTCGATGTCTCAACACCTGGAGAAGTGGCTCCCTCAGGTCATTCTGCATATGTGAACAGCTGGTACCAGGAAATAGCCCAATAGAACCACTTAGCATTCACATATCTAGCCTAAACCAAGATATTCAGACAAGTGTCCCTATACAGTCCACGTAAATGAGTGAACACCCAAACAGGTACCTCACCTGAGACTCCACACAGAGAATCTGGATAGCTTGTCTGCAAACACCAGTTTTAGTCCTCTCCACCCTGGGCCATTCAATGAACCCACTGGGGTACCCCTAGGCAATGCACTCCAATACCTAAGCACATGCACAAAGGTTTCCTCCACCTTAAACTTGAAATCCAAGTCTACTTAATGCCTGAACACATGTACACGACCCATAGTCCAAATCCAAACTTTATGTGGAAAGCTGTACCGGCTGGCCTTCCTGATTGCCTAGCTCCCAGGATGGGTTTCCACCGCACATCAGACTGACCAATTCACAAGATGCATAGATTCTTCCTATCCCACCTCATTTGAGTATGTAAATACTAGATTTCTGCTGTGATCATTCCTTACCCCAATGTCTGGAAAGTACATGTAAGGCCCATTCCATCTCACGTGAATTGTTGGATTACCATCCTCACATAAACCCACATGGAAACATAATTGTGCTCCCTGTTACCACCATCTAAATACTTGAAAACCAAGACAGGGCTCTGAAGCCTTCTTTGCCTGACTCAGGTCCTGTTCCCTTTGGGTCCTGATACTGACCACTGTCCTTCCTTCCCTCCTTTCTCCCCATTCGCAGCTCTTTGAGATGTTTTATTCAGTGATGAAGCACCTGCCTGGACCACAGCAACAGGCCTATAAGGAGGTCCAGGGACTGAAGAACTTCGTAGCCAAGAAAGTGCAGCACAACCAGCGCACCCTGGACCCTAATTGTCCCCGGGACTTCATTGACTCCTTTCTCATCCGCATGCAACGGGTATAACCTGAAGCCATAGTTGGGAGGTTCAAAGCCAGGCGGAAGGAAATCAGCCTAGGGTTGGGAGAGGGTGGGAGCACAGGCCTGTGCACGTTTTCCCTCCTCATAGTAACCCTCCCCTCCTTCATAATTAGCACCACTCTTCCATGTTCAGGTCTTATGCAGATGACATGTGTCTGTAACTACAGACCATTCACACTGCACTGCTGTGGACCAGGAACTGGTTTTAGTGCTTGACAACATTCACCAGTTTAGCACCAACAACAGCTTGTTCACAGGATTCTATTATGACTCCAGTTCTAGAAATTAGAAAATGCAACCGAGAGTATAAGCAGCCAAGGAGGTCATGCAGCCAAGGGGCAGTGGGTTCTGGCTCAAACCAGGTCTCTCTGGCTCTAAGGCTGTGGCCTTTAGTCAGTGTTCTTTCTAATCTCCCTGACCTTGAGCATCATGTACACATGTGTGAACAGGTGACCTGGCTTCAAAGTGTGATCAGAGGGGCCTCACATTTGTCTATATGTCAGTTTTCCATCTTGAGAAATAAGATAGGGATTTGTATAATCTGTAGAACAAAAGATCAATGGAGGGGCTGAGGAGATGGTTTGGTGACAGAGCACTTGCTGAACAAGCATGAGTCCTCAGGTCTAATCTCCAGAACCCTTGTGAAAAGCTGGGGATGGATATGGGTTCCTGTAACCCCAGGATTGGAGAGAGGGGACAGGCAGATCCCAGGGGTTGCTGACCGGCCAGCCTGGTTGAAAGGATGAGCTCGGTTCCAATGAGAGACCCTGCCTTAAAGGAATGAGGTGGAGAGTGAGAGAGGCAGACACCTGCCATCCTCCTGTGGCCTCCATGTGTGCTCATGAGCATGTGCCCGGCCCCACAGGGGTCTTCAAAATCGAGGAGTCGGGATGCTGTCACTTCAAATTCTGAGTCTCCATCTCACAAAATGTGCTTCTAACTTCTCTATCCCCCTCTCCTCTCTTCTAAATATCCATGCTTACAATTTGAGCAAGTGACAACTAAGCTGATCATGAAAAGGCAGAGACTCACCCAGGCAGAGGCCATGAGGAAAGCATCATGGGAAGAGTTAGCACCTAGAGAGATCAGGTCATTCTTCTCACCTTAGGTCTGAACTAGAAGAAGTAGATCTAAGGGAAACTTCCAGAGGAGTCCTAAGGGGTGATAAATAGACTCAGCATAAAGGCTTTTTCTCCTGCAGGAGGGAAAAAACCCCCATACAGAGTTTAACATGAGGAACCTGTTGGAGACCACACTGAACCTTTTCTTCGCGGGAACAGAGACAGTCAGCACTACCATGCGCTATGGCTTCCTGCTGCTCATGAAGAACCCAGATGTCGCAGGTAAGGCTACAGGCGATCAGGAAGTGGGGGCGCAGACCTGAAAGTGGTGGGAGTCTGCTACCTTCACCCCACCTCTCCCAGGTCTATGGATCCTCAGAAAGGCTCAGGTTTGCATAGACAGGGCACATGGTCACTTGACAGGCACCAGCTTGTTGCTGGTGGTCACTATCAGGAGCAGATTCTTGATGCCCTGTTCAAAGAATTGAGTGAGTGCAACAAACAGTGAAGAACCAGGGGATTTTTTTCAGAATCCTTTCAAAAGTACAGACTGACTACACAGCAGAGGAACAGCGGGGCTGAGCGAGGTTTCCTCAGGAGCCCCTGGTTATCTCTCACGTCCTCCGTTTGTTGGCTGTGCTGGATCGCTTTATTTGTCAACTTCACACACCTGGGAAGTGGCCCCTCAACTGGGGAATTGCTTTTATTGGATTGGCCTTGTGGGGACACCTGTGCTGCCTTGATTGTTGAATGATGTGAGAGAGCCCAGCCCACTCTAGGCGGTGCCATTCCCGGGTGGTCCTGGTTTGTTTAAGAAAACAGACTGAGGACAGCACAGCCCAGGGGAGCAAGCCAGTAAGCAGCACTCCTCCATGGTCTGTGCTTCAGCTCCTGTCACCAGATTCCAGCCATGAGTTCCTACCATGGCTTCCCTGGATGATGAACTCTGCTGGAAGCAAAAAAACCCTTTCCTCCCCAAGTCGGTTCTGGTCAGAGTGTTTTGTCACAGCAATTGCAAGCAAACTAGAACATGGGTTTAGGAGGAGGAGCCATTGGCTGCTGGGAGCAGGGAATGGGTGGTTTTCGTTTTGACTGACAGACTTGAAATTGTAAGTCTTTGTTGACATGTCCTTTTCCACGATGCATCTGGCCTTAATCACTTGCGTGTGCAATCCTACATAGGCATAAGATCCTAAGTAGCATGTTTTCCTCACAAGGTCACTCAAAGGACAGTTTGTCACACTGAGCATGCACCAGAGACCTTTTTGGGTTGTGCTGGAGCATTGCTTCTGGTCCCCGAATATGTCCGTATGTATGTGACCACTAAAGGAGTGTTACAAGGGGGTCGTTAAGGAGCTGATGCTGGTTGTTAGCATGGGATGATTAGTTGCTGTGTTTGGAAGGGTATATCTATAGCTAGATGTGGAGGGTTGAAGCCGAAAATACCCTGGATTGCTAAGCTATTTTTGCAAAGTACCTTCCTCAACCTGAGACTTACTAACTGATAAAATATGGGTAAAGTCAGCCTGATTGGTAAATTGTTCCTTGAAAACACATAAGGTACCCTGCCTGTTCTTCCTTCCATTCCATAAGTCTCCTCCTTTGTAACACCCATATAGCTCTGGCCCAATCAGGTCAACAGGACCGTATTCTACCATCACAAGTGCCCAACACTGTGAATGTCTACATTGGTATCACCCAGAGGGACATATCATCATCTAATTTTGCATATTTAATCCATCTTCCCTTTCTGGTTAACAAAATACATCTTTCCTTATTCTCAGCCAAGATGCATGAGGAAATTGACCAGGTGATTGGCAGGAATCAGCAACCCAAGTACGAGGACCACCTTAAGATGCCCTACACCGAAGCTGTGATCCACGAAATCCAGAGATTTATAGATGTACTCCCTCTTGGCTTGGCTCGCAGCACCACCAAGGATGTCAAATTTCGGGGCTTCCTCATCCCCAAGGTAGTGCCCTGCCCAGCCTAGGGGAACTTGCAGTCCACTTCTTGTGGTACCAGCAATCCACCGTCACTAGAAACTTTCCACACTGTCCCTCCTTCTCAAAGCCTTTCTCTCCCCTCATGTCCTTTCAGCCTTTCCACTCAGTCTTCTGAATCCTGTGTCTTCCTCAGAGTTTCTACTTCAGAGGAATCAACCCTATGTCTGCAAATTCCTTTTATACAGAACATGAGCCGCCTTTTCTCTGGAACTTGTTACTTAAGTGCAGGAACTGCGTGTCCTTCAAACAGCCTGCTGAGGCACACAAACCAAAAGTATCCAAAGCCTTCGAGGTCTCAGAGAATGAGAACCTCCAGCTCTCCCGGCTTGACATGTATGAGCTGTTTACCCCTCTGCCTTCTGCCCTAGGAAACACAGACCCTGTGACTCTCAAATGGCCTTTCTCAGAAAACATGAACCACCAGTTCTCTAAAGCTTCCTGACCTGGGGATGTTAATCTCATGCTCCTCAGTGCATCCCTTTAGCAGGTCCCAATTCCCCTTTCTCTTCAATAGACTCTGGCTCTGCCTTCCAACCCAGACAGCTTTCAGGATACCCATTCTCCACCGGCCTTATCAATTCCCATTCCTTCTCTCTCCCAGGGAACTGAAGTGTTTCCCGTGCTGGGTTCTGTGCTGAAAGACCCCCAGTTCTTCCCTGACCCCGACAGTTTCAATCCACAGCACTTCCTGGATGACAAGGGGCAGTTTAAGAAGAGTGATGCTTTTATGCCCTTTTCTGTTGGTAAGAGGCCTCTGTCTGCTTCCAGCCCACCACCCACCAACAAGCTTGACTCTTCCTGGCTCTCCTCTGAGGTGTAAGCTCATACCTTTCTCCAGCTTGGAAGTTCCTCTCAGCCTTGACCTTCCAGCCAACCAAGGGCAACTTCCATGCCAATCGAGGTCAAAGGAGAGGGATGATCAAAGTGTTTTCAGAGATGTAAACATCAAGGTCACACAGACAGTTCTTCAGACTTTAGTGAGGAAAGGAGCCTTATTTGAGAGTGTGTTTGGTGGAGGGACATCCAGACCTCCCACTGCTCCAGCCTCCCATGGGTCACCTCACCTCATTACAAAGGAAACTGAGGCTCAGATAGGATCTTCGGGTCCCAGGAGCGCAGGCTCTTCCCCCTGAGATGGTCCTGCTCTGGACCTGGCATTGGGGTGAGACAGCGGCGAAACTTGCCCTCACTCCACCCTCTCTCCCTCCATTTTCAGGGAAGCGAAACTGTTTCGGTGAAAATCTGGCTAAAACGGAGCTCTTCATCTTCTTCACAACCATCATGCAGAACTTCCTTTTCAAGTCCCCAACGGAACCCCATGACATAGACATTTCTCCACAATACGTTGGCTTTGCCACAATTCCACGGAGATACACCATGAGTTTCCTTCCTCGCTGAGGCAAAAGTCTGCCAGGCCAGACGGTGTGGGCTTGGTCAGAATATGGGCAAGGAATGGGCTAAAGGATAATCTTTAAATGGGCAAGGGAAGTCTGGGTCCAGCTGGATCACACACACACACACAGAGAACCACATATTCCCTCCTGGGATGAAAAGCTGGGAATTATTGTGCTATGTTGTGAATACTAATAATAATAAATGTAGTATTGTTGATTTTGCAAGAAATCTGTGTCAGTTTCATTATCGCTCTTAATGCTCACAAACCCACTGAGAAGGGGATAGATGACCGTTTTAGAGGTGACAAACTTGAGGTTTAGAATGTTTAAGTCACTGGCCTGGCTTGGGCTCATGTCTGTAATCCCAGCACTTGGGAGTCACTGAGGCAGGATGAATGTCATGATTTTAAGGCCAGTCTGGGTTATGTGGTGAGTTGTAGCCAGATGTCGCTATAGTGTGAGAGTCCCCCCTCAAAAACACACCAACCAAATAAAAGGAACTTTTCAGTAGGGTGGTGAAGAGGAAGCTGCTTCAGTGTGATCCTTAAACTGTCAGCATCAGGAAATAACAGCCTGCATTCCAAAGCAAGAGAGAAAAGGCTTCAGAAACCTACTGACACTGAGGTAGGACAGCTGGTGTGCAGGGGGAGCAGAAGGGCTGCACCAAGAAAGCACCATGGCGAAGTCAGCTTTAGCCGCAGCACTCTCCACGGGAGGAGGAAAAGCAGGCGGCTCAGCGCAGGGCAGACTGCGCTAATTTTACCCGTTGTTTCCTTGGCCCTTTTCTTCTACCCGTTATGGCAATGCCTGATATGTTAATGGCTTTCAATTTATTTTTGAATATTTTATTTATTTTTATTTTATGGGTATTAGTGTGTTTCAGTGGGTGAAAAACCACTCCAGCTCCAGAGAACTGAACACCCTCATCTGGTACCTACATGCATGTGAACAAATAAACACTAAGACACATACACACGATTTTCAAATGAAACTAAAATTAATCTTTTTCTAAAAGAAAACACAAACGGCTGCAGATGTACCCATTATCTTTCTCAGGTCTGCCACCCCCGCTCCCCCGTCTCCATGTTTATGCTCCTGGAGGGATCGAGATGCTCTGTGTGCTACCAACATGTAGACAGTTCATAAATTTGAGAACTCATTCTCCAACGTGGTTTTTCTCTCAAGATTCCTTTCGGTGTATCTGAGATCGCTGTCGGCACAATGTGAATTCGAGGATGGACTTTTCTGTTTTTGCACAAGAAGTTGAGGAATTTTCATAGACGTGGAACTGAATCTACAGATCACTGGGTATAGTTAGCACCTTAACGTCAGGGTCTCCAGCCCACTCACAAGGGAAATCTTAGCATCTGCTTCCATCTTCTTGAATGTCCTTCATCCATGTCTTACATATCTTTTTCTTCCATCTCGTTATGATTATTCCTAGCTATTTTATTCTTTATGATGTCATAGACAATGGAACACTCTGAAATTGATGTTTGGACTGCTCATAGCTGCTGGGCAGCACCACAAAAGTCTTTTGCATGTAGGTTCTCACACCTGCGACTTTGCTGAATTTGTTAGGTAGAGCAATTTTCATGCTGATTCTTCAGACACTTATACGTTGGTCTCATTTGAATGCCTTTATTTCTTGTCTAATTGCTTGGGCTAGAATTTCTAGAAGTAGGAAGCATCAATAGTGAACACAGGTATCTTTGGTTTGGTCCTGATCTTAGAAGGAAAGCTCCTGGTCCTGGTGACTGAAGGCTAATGTGATGTTCCTGGGCCTGTCCTGAGTGTCCTTCAGACAAGTTCCTGCCTGCTCCTGGTTTCCACTGTTTCATCAGTATGCAGTCTTCCATTTCGACATGGTGTTTTTCTGCACTGATTGAGAAAAGCATGTGAGCTTTTTCTTTTCTTACTCCGTGTATCACTGGACTGATTCTCTTCTGTTGAACCATCCCTGTGCTCCTGGGGTAATGTGACACAGTAACAGTGTATAATCCCTTCAATATGGTGTTGAGAATTACACCCTTATATCTTTTTTGAGTGTTCTTGATGCCACACTCTTTAGGGATTTCAGTGTATAATTTATTTTTCTTGTGAAGTCTTAATCTGGCTTTTGTATCAGGGCAGTGATGATCTCATAGGATGACTTAGAAAAATGGTCTTTCTTCAATTAACTGGAAAAATCTCAAAAAGATTCATGTTAATAAATCTTAAAAATCTGGTTCCATACCATTGAAATCTACCTGATGACTTTATATCCATGCTCAGATGCCAAGGAGCTCAGAAATTAACAGACTGTCACTAGTAATAATCAAATATATAGATTAGAAATGCATGTGCAAACATCTTAATGTCAATTGCATTGAAAATGAGTTTTTCTGTATGAAACTGTGTATTTTGATAATGAAATAGTGATCTTTTTTAAAGGTTAAAACTTCATTTAATTTTATGTCTTATAGGGTTTATTCCGAGTACAATGTTGTATAACTGTAACTATTCAACCGTAAACCTAAAACTTTACAGGCAATTTTGAAAAAGATGCATCTTAGCTCAGAAAATTGTTACTGAATATGTCAATGCTGTTGTCATGAAATGCTGCTTCTAACTATGTGGTTATTAAATAAATAATAAGCTGAAAAAAAATCTGGTTCCCTTAAATGGTGATGTCACTGAGTCTGGGATGTTTTTTGCCAGGCAGGTTGTTTATTACTATTATAATCAATTAGAATCAGATGTTCCGTTTCTTCCTGAAGCAGCATGGTTATTTGTAAGTGTTTCTGGTATCTCTTTGGTGACATATACTTTTCCACACTATTTGCTAACCATTTCTCTCATTTCCATGACATCAAGAATGTCCCCCCTTACATTTTTAATTTCTTTTTCATCTCCACTCTTGGTCCTCCGTCAGCTTAGCCAGCAGCTCGGTGGTTTTGTTCATCTTTCCTTAGAATAACAACTTCATATACAACCAGATAAATACACGCAACAATTTGGCCTTTTAACAAAAACAAATTTTTTAAATATTTTATTTATTATTTTTACGTATGTGTGTGTGTTGCCTGCATGTTGGTAAGTGCACCCGTGTTGTGCAATGCCCACAGAGGACATAGGAGGCTGTCGGATCCCCTGGAACTGCAGTTACAGATAGTTGTTAACTGCCATGTTTGTGCTGGGATTCGAACCTGGGTCTTCTGCAAGAACAGCCAGTGTTCTTAACCGCTGAGCTCCAGACCCCTAACAAAAACAAATTTGATTTTTTGGTAGTTATTTGACAAGCCGGGCTTCCTGACACATGCTTGTAATCTCGGCACTCAGGAGGCTCATTTGAAGGATCATTTCAACACAGGAATTCAAGACCAGCCTGGACAAAAAAGGGACAACTCATTTTTAAAAAAACAATTAATTGGGCTAGAGAGATGGCTCAGCGGTTAAGAACACTAGCTGTTCTTTCAGAGGACCAGGGTTCAAATCCCAGCACCCACATGGCAGCTAACAACTGTCTGTAACTCCAGTCCTAGGGATCCAACAGCCTCTTCTGACCTCCGTGGGCATTGCACGACATGGGTGCACTTACCTACATGCAGGCAATGTACACATACACATAAAATAAAAATAATAAGTAAATTTTTTTAAGTTAAAAAAACAATTAATTTGAAACTTCTTCCTTTTTACTGTGTTTCTTAAATTTCTCCTCTGTCCAAAGAAATAAGTGTTATACTTGCATTTTCATATTTCACCCCTTGTGATTTCCATCTACTATGTTTAAGACTATGTTATCTGACATAGACTGCTTACCCATGATGTATGTACATATTAAAACATTTCTGGCTAGGCCTGATGGTGCACACCTTTAATCCCAGAGCTCTGGAGGCAGAGAAAGGCGGATCTCTATAAGACCAAGGCCAGCCTGGTCTACATAGAAAGTACCAGGCCAGCAGGGGCCACAGGGAGACCCTGTCTCAAAAATATTTCTAGCACACCATAAATACATCCATTTTTATTTACCCACTAAGGGATTTTTTAAGTGAGTGTTTTAAATTTCCACACACTGATGAATTTTTCAGTTTGCCTTGGTATTGATTTCTAGCTTCATTTCATTCTGGTCAGAAATGAGACTTGAATGTTTTCACCTTTCAAATTTATTGTCTTATATTGAGACCTGGCATGCAGCCTAAAGTGGAAATTGCTCCACATGCACCTGAGAAGGTAATTTCTAGTCTAAGTATTATCAGCTATGCGCTCTCTTGTGGCAGGCCCAGGAGGATGCTGGAGGAGAGCACTGCAGACTTGTATTCTGGCCTAGGTATTGTCAGGTGTGAGTTCTCCCGTGGCAGGGCCAGGCAGATGCTGGAGAAGAGCACTGAGGACTTGTATTCTGGCCTAGGTATTATCAGGTGTGAGTTCTCCCATGGCAGGGCCAGGCAGATGCTGGAGGAGAGCACTGCGGACTTGTATTCTGGCCTAGGTATTATCAGCTGTGTGCTCTGTTGGAGCAGACCCAGGCGGATGCTGGAGGACAGAGCTGCAGGTCTGACCTCAGCTGAGTCACTGCTCTTGGCCACCTGCTGTGTGCCTGACTGTGAGGGCTGCCTGCTAGAGGGCAGAGAGGCCAGCCAGAGACAAGGACAGGAAGTCACAGTTCCTAGAACATCAGTTGTCCCTCTCCAAATTCTCCAGCCCATACAAAGTCTTTCAATATAATCATGTTACTTATTGAAGCAATGCTAATAAAATATTTTTAAATTTAAAGGAATAGGAAAAAGGGAGAAAGGGCAGCAACAGTGGATATGCTCTCTGCTCCCGGGTCCCAGCTCTGCTCTCAAGAGCCTTCCTTCCTGTGACTCTGGGCTCTAGACATCATGGTAAGGGCTTGTCATAACATTTCAGCCAAAATCCAACAGCAATCAGTCATTTTGTCCTAGGATATTATGTGGAAGGGAGTCTGGGTCTGCCAAAAGACAGTCACGACAGGCCACGTCTGCCAAAACTCACAGCTGTGGTGCAGTTTACCAGTGCGGTCCTCTTTCATCTATTTGCTTTATTACTCACTAAGTACAATAAAACCAGCACCGTCGGTGATCCACACATGGAAACGTGGAGCTGAATTCCAGCCTTTGTATAGGTTTCACTCCACTAAGTTGAAGATGTTATCGTTTTCTAGATTTGTCATTCTAAAAGAGGAGTAAATGCTTCCACAACACGTACTGGATGGCTATGGGAGCG